TCTCTCTCTCTCTCTCTCTCACACACACACTCGTACACACACACTCTCTCCCCCCCTCTCTCTCTCTCTTTCTCTCTCTCCCTCTCTCTCTCTCCCCCTCTGTCTCACCTGCTGGTGCAGCTGCACTTGCTGCAACTGCTGCCTCAAAACCTCCTGCTCAATAGACTGCTTCAGATATTTATTCTGCAGCTCCTGCTGTTGTAGAGCTGTTTTCAGCGCTGCTGTTTGGTGCTGCGATGCCTGGAGGGCTGCCTGCTGCTGCTGTTGCTGTTGCTGTAGATTGGCTTGCAGCAAGGCTTGCTGCTGCTGCTGCTGCTGCTGTTGCTGCTGTTGCTGACGCTGTTGGCTCTGAAGGAAATGAGAATAACGGAGGTTAAAAGATCTTGATTGTTCCAGGATTTCTCCTCTGTCTGACTGTCTGTCTGTCTGTCTGTCTGTCTGTCTGTGTGTGTGTCTGTCTGTGTGTCTGTCTGTCTGTCTGTGTGTCTGTGTGTCTGTCTGTGTGTCTGTCTGTGTTTCTGTGTGTCTGACTGTCTGTCTGTCTGTCTCCATTTACTCATTCCACACACACACACACACACACACACACACACACACACACACACACACACACACACACACACACACACACAAAATCCTGTATGTTTGTCTTCTCTTCCACCCCACCCCCTCAATTCATATTACCACCGTTACCACATGGCCCTGTGTAGTACAATCACTTCACAAACAAACAAAAATGGAGAAAATCGTTCCCCTTAAGCAAAAGCAAAGTCTAGTTTTAGTAAAAGTTTTACGGCACTTGCAACTCAAGTGCCGAAGATTAGAGGTGTTACAAGAGAGACCGTCCGGGGCACAAGGGCGTCCAGGTCTTTCCTGTGACGGGAAAAGGACAAAACTCTTCAACTTATTTTGTTTTAGTAAGGTTGTTTTTTTTTTAGTAAGAGTTTTACGGCACTTGCAACACAACAAGGTCAAATAAGTGCCGAAGGTTAGAGGTGTTACAAGAGAGTAACAAACATAAAAAAAGATGGAGGAGAGATAAGTACGATAGACGTTTGATAGGAAAGAAGAAGCAAACCGCACCAGAGTACCCGCCAACCACCCGCCAACCAGTTTCCCTCACCAGATAAGCCTGAAGAACAGCCTGTTGTTGAGCCATCTGCTGGGCTGCCACTTGTTGTAGTGGGTCTGGGGGAAAAACACACAGATAACATAAACATATTTTAGAAAATGTGTTAAAGTAGACGATTAACCCTATCTGTACGCCCTGGGGTCAGTTCGTAGCCCCGGGGTTGTATCCTTTATATTTTAGAATATTTCTAGTGGGAAGATCTCTTAGAAACTTTCAGTATTTCTTAAAAAATCATTTTGACAGACTGCTATGCAAAGCGTACGGATTGGATTAACGAGTAAATTTCCTCTTTTGGAAAGTGGTGGCACAGAGTTCCCCACGTCGTATAGATACGATAGTAAAACACGCCGTACGGATAGGGTTAAGAAACTAATTCTTTGCATCAAAATGTTGGGCATAATACATCTGAACAGTCAACCCGCGATTTACTTTATTGTTTTAGTAAGAGTTTGTTTGTTTAGTATAGGGTTTTACGGCGCTCGCAACTGCATAGGTCATATGAGCGCGCGGGACACACCTAATACTATTTCGTTGGTAGGAAATTTTGAATTTTGCCCGGGTGGCGGCCGAAGCCTACTCTTATCCATTTTAGACCACCAAGGGATCTTTAACGTGCGCAACTTGCACACGGGTCCTCCGAGATTTTTCGCCCTTGTCCGAGAAGGCTAGGTGTAGATCTTTCCTACCAGAAGATCAGGGGTGTGGCAGAAAGACAGCAGTTAGGAGGAGCCAAGGAGTAGCAGTAGAAAGGCTGCAGAAAGAGTCAGGAGCCCAGAGGAGCGGGGCAAAGGAGGTGAGGGGGTGGGGGCAGAAAGTGGAAATGAAAGCAGACAACAGAACATTGTTAGAGATCAGGAAAGGATGTGAAAGGAGACAATTTTAGAGAAGAAAATTTTTTCGGTCGCTACCCGGAATCGAACCCGGGACCTTTGAATGAGAGGCCAACACCTTAACCTCTAGGCCACGAGAGCCCCCCAGTAAGAGTTTTACGGTACTTGCAACACAATAACGTCATATAAAGGCCAAAGATAACAGATATTACAAAAGAACTAACAAACACAAGAAAGAAGGAGGAGAGATGAGATCAGGACGACAGACATTTGATAGGAAAGAAGAAGCAAGCCACACAAAAGCACCCACCAACCACCCACTCATCCTCAGAATTACAATTTCAACAAAATATTTCTTGAGTATAGGCAGCCGATACCACAGACTAAGAAACTGTAATTTAAACAATTTTTTTTTAAATGTCAAAATGTTGGGCGTAGTACATCTGAACAGTTGACCCACGATTAGTTCTATTGTTTTAGTAAGAGTTTTACAACGCTAGTAACACAATAAGGTCATATACTTGCTGAAGATAACAGGTCTTACAAGAGAGTAACAAACATAATACAGAAAGAAGAGAGATCAGGACGATAGATGTTTGATAGGAAAGAAGGAGCAAAACCACACCAGAGCACCCGCCAACCACCCACTCCACGATGTGCACCTACCTGTGTTAATGAGGCCCACGGTGGGGATGGTGGGCACGGTGGGAGCCCCCGTCAGGTTGAGGGGGGCGGGCACCACAGGGGTTTGAACCCCAACAGTCGGTGGCACGGCCATGCCACCCAGGTTAAAGCCAACAGGCTGAGTCAGCGGCTGCAACACAAGAGACCGAGAGTCAAGGTTTGGTTTTAGTAACAGTTTTTGCTGTACATGCAACACAGATAGGTTGTATAAATACTGAAAGAATGGTACACTAAAAGAATGGTATAGGTTTAATGTCCTTATCAACACTGTTAGGCTATTTAAGAGGTTGGACCTACGAGTTTAACGTCCCTCTCAGAAAGGACCGAGCCAAGTGGGACATTCGTGTAAAGTGTCTTTCTCAAGGAAACAACGTCAGACCGAACTAAGGCTCAAACCCCCGAACCCGCAATCTCATGATTACGAGTTTGACAGCCTACCCACTAGACCACCGACGTCACTCGTATAAATACCAAAGATTACATGGGTTTCGAGAGAGTAATATACAAAAAAAAAGAAAGAGGGGAGACAATGAGTTTGAGGGAAAAAAGCACAAGGACACAATAACAGTCAGTCATACAGTGCAGAGGAAGACAGAGAACAACACACACAGATGGTCTGAACAATACATAGAGGAACAAGGACGATAGATGTTTGACAGAAGAGAAGGAACAAACCCCTCCAGAGCACCCGCCAACCACCTACAGTCCCACCTGTAATGACAAAAAGCTATCAAACGATACCAATAACTCCACAAGCCTACATTTTGGGCACGTGGAGTTACTGATATCATCTGAAACATTATTCAGTACCCTTGCTTTCAAGTAAATAAATACCCATCTACCTAGAATAGAAGTCCAGATATTTGCGCTTCATGAAGAAGGTGGGGAAGCCTGGTTTAGTGGTTAAATTAATGACAAAATGGCTACCAAAGTTTGGTAAGTAGAGGAAAAATGACAATAGTAAGGATTAGGAAAGAAAAAGCAGCAGTTCCCTGTTGTAGATCAGGCACAGTTATGAACGAGACATGAATCAGCCCATTTACAATTCTACTGTGCTTGAACGAGAAATGCCCCCCCCCCTTTGGGAATGGCCTAAAGACACTACAGTCAGTGGCACTGCCCGGGGGGCGTTCCCTCTGACTGCTTTAACCAATGCACTTTACAAGACATCATAAGATAAAGGCTTAAATAAACTAAAGAGAGTTCCTCCTCACCTGCGCTCTTGCAACCCCGGGATACCTTTCCCTCTGTCTGCTTCAATCAAGTAAGTAAGTACGTTTATTCAGTGTTTAAGGCCACTGGCCCACATCACATCACATAAAACACTCATTTGATAAGTAAAGTTTCCATAATGAATAAGTACAGGTTGTGCTCATATCTCTTATCATGCGTCAAACATTGTATATTTCTGTCACTGGGCTGAGTCAACCTGGGAGGGATTAACAATTTCCTTTCATGGACAAAGTGTGAACAATAGAAAATAAAGTAAAATTAATCTTCAATTTCATGAGAGTTACACCTCTCACATAAGCACTTTACAAGACAACATAATATAAAGGCTTAACTAAAGTAAAGACAGTTCCCCCTCACCTGCGGCTGCTGTAGCCCCGGGACACCTTTCCCTCTGTGTGCCTCAACCAATGCACTTTACAAGACAACATAATATAAAGGCTTAACTAAAGTAAAGACAGTTCCCCCTCACCTGCGGCTGCTGCAGCCCCGGGACACCTTTCCCTCCACCCTTGATCCGACCCCCGAGCCGCTGCCCGTCTTGCTCTACGTGGTCGTTGAGGGCGTTGTTGAAGATGTCTTCTACGAGGTGAGACCAGTCCGTGTGGTCAGAGGTCACCGACATGGCCTCATCCCGCATGTTGTTGTGTTTGCGTCGGATGTGGTCAGGGACACCCGCCGACTTCCCGCGGCCCGGGTTGTTCTTCTTGTTGTACCGGTGGTTCAGCTTGCTCTGAGACAGATCTGTGGCGTCAATAACTTTGACCTCGCCGTTGGGGAAGTACCTTCCGTTGAGTTTGTTCTTCGACAGATCGGTGTAACTACCCTCCCCGTTTTCTTCCTCATCTTCTTCGATGGTCGTGATATGTCCGTTCGCGATTCCGTTAGGAACGTGTCCGTTGGCTAGCGGGGGACCCGGTGCCCGAGATCGTTTTGTGTAGCGCATGTTCATCTTGCTCTGCTCCGAGAGTCCGGCCGGGAGGATCTCTGTCGGTCGCTGGTTCAGCACACTGGTGGTGGAGAAGCCTAGCTCGTCCTCCTGGTTGCCGTTGGTTACCACCCGCTTGCTGGAGGTGACTCGGTGCTGAGAGCTGCTCTGCTGGGAGGAGGCTGTTGCCGTGGTG